GGTGCATCCATGTTGTCACAGTGATAGCATTTCCTACTTGTTAAAGACTGAGCAACATTCCACTGTGCGTGTGTACGTGTGTTGATTTCATCCGTATACCTAGACATGGGATGATTGCTGGATCGTGTAGTAGTTCTTTTTTTGGTGGTTTGAAAAACCTCCGTGCTGTTTTCAGTAGTGGCCGTACCAGTTCGTATTCCACCAGTAGTGTACGAGGGCGCTCTTTTCTCCACGTTCTCACTAGCACTTGCCATCTCTTGTTTTGTTGTCATTGTTGATGGCCATCCTGGCTGATGTGAGGTGATACCTCATTGTCATTTTCATCTGTTTCCCTGATGATTTGTGGTGTTGGGCACCATTTCATGTACATGTTGACCATTTGTATATCTTCTTTTCAGAAATGTCTATATCAGTCCTTTCCCCGTTTAAAAAATGTTTTTGTCTGTGTTTATACTATTGTGTTGTTTGAGTTCCTTATATATTTTGTACATTAACCGATTATCAGATACATGGTTTGTAAATATTTCCTTTTATTCCATAGGTTGTGTCTTCATTCTGTTGATTGTTTCCTTTGGTGTGCAGAAGATTTTTAGTTTCATGGAATCCCACTTTATTTTTGCCTCTGTTGCTGTGCTTTTGTGTTCATATCCAAGAAATCATCACTCAGACCAAAGTCAAAAAAATGTTCCTATACATTTATTAAAGACACTATTCTTTTCAAAACAAAGGGAACAAAAAAAGGTTGAAGGACAGAACTTTGGAGAAGACCCGTAGTTGAGGTAGAAAAATCACGGAAGAGGGACATGCAGGAAGGAGTCCGGCAGTGTCAGCCGCTGCAAATGAGCCCAATAAGAGTGGCAGGTGTGGCATTTGTAACCGGCAGAGCAGTGCTGGTAAAATGGTGGGGTTGGAGGTAGACGTCGGGGGGCTAAAGGAGCGGAGGGAAGCTGGGACACAAGAGCGGACAGATGTGTGCCCGGTAACTGACATGGTAGAAAACCTAAAGAGGAGATCAAAGACAGATGCGGATGTGGTACCTGCCAAACCATGTTTTCAAGGAATGAGGGGCAGGCAAGGTCATGTGCTTAGTGAGGGGGCAAGAATGCGAGAAATCTTGAGAATGGGAAAGGCAACTGGGTAAAAAGGGAACAGCTACGGAATAGGGTCGTGAGGGCCCAGCCCCGATGGCAAGCCGCAAGCATATACTGATGGTTTTCCTCCACACACCTGCCCACGTGTAGCTAGAGAAATCGGGGGTTCAGATACACATCTGGAGTGCCATGCCAAAATCTAAAGGGAACCCTTAACTTCTGATAACTTGTTATCTGGGGCAATCTCTTCCTAAAAAGCAGTGTTGAGGTTATGGAAACTCTGAGTCTTGTAATTCCAAAACCAAAACCCCACCCTTTTTAGGATTTTGTTTCTCCCATGCCATACTGACAGCCTGGCTCTGTGGCAGGGAAGAGACCCAGGAAGTACCTCATGCACATCTGCTGTGGGTTTGCAGGTGCATGGACCGGGGGCCAAGACACTGCCTGTGAGCCTCGGAAGCGCGAGGCATTGTCACAGTCCCCGAAAGTTCTTCGTGGTGCAGACATCACCAAGGCCCTCATTCCTGTAGTCTTTTTAGGTGGCTGCCACATGGAACAGGTGATGTGTGATGACACATCATTTCACTATAGAGAAGTGTGCATATTCTGGAGAGACATTTTTTATAGGTAGCAGAACTCTAACTGCCAAGTAAATAGGTGGGACAGCTTGGCCTGCACACACAAACCATCTTACTGACGTTTCATTGCAGCACTGACGGGACTTAACAAGCTGAAATAATTCCTTTCTTCCTTTCCTTCTTTTTTTCTTTTTTTTAAGCAGATTACAGAAATAGAGCCAGAGGGGCGTTTAGACTCCAGTAATCAGGACAGGCTCACAGCGCTGAAAGCAGTAACAAATTTTGGTGCTCCTGTTGAAGTGTTTGACTCTGAAGGTGAGTGTCATTTCATGACCCAGGCAGTCCAGGCTTAATGTCACATTAGTGCAGATTAACATAGCCATTCACCACAGGAAATCTTGGCTGGCCATGCTTCGGTGAGTAGTAAAGCATGTCTGTGGTGGTGATCTCATTTGGAGGGGATCACTCCTTTGAGGAGAGAAGATTAGGCAATAAACAGCAAAACCCCAGAGCACAGGACTCCCTTTACTACACAAGGTGGAACCCAAGTATGTCCCTGTTTTCCTTAGCATGTTATTCTTCGTACCTTACAGAAGCTGAAATGTTCCAGAAGAAACTTGATGAGACCACCAGATTGCTCCGAGAGCTCCAGGAAGCCCAGAACGAGCGTCTGAGCACCAGACCCCCTCCCAACATGATCTGTCTCTTGGGCCCCTCTTACAGGGAAATGCATCTCGGTAGGTCGCACCTCCGGGAAAAGGAGACTTGGGGGATATTTAAAGGGAAAAACTTCTGAGAAGGGACACCGCTGTGAAGCAGTGCTAAAGTGAACTGTAGGTGATTTATTTTTTGCATTTACACAGTTGACCCTTGAACACGTGGGGGTTAGGGATACTGACCCCAACCACCCACCCTGCACAGTTGAAAATCCATGTGTGATTTTTGACTGCCCCCAAACTTAACTATAATAGCCTTTTGTTGCCTGGAAGCCTTACCTGTAAACAGTCAGCTGACATTTCGTATGTTCTATACTAATTCATACCACAAAGCTAGAGAAAAGAAAGTACTAAAATCAGAAGAGAAAATACATTTACAGCCCTGTGTTATCGGAAAAAAAGGCCATGTAAGTGGATCTGCACAGTGCGAACCCCCATTGTCCCAGGGTCAAGTTTGTGGTGTTCCTATGACTTTTTTTTTTTTTTTTAATCTAAAGGAACCACGTTTCAATACCTAGAGCTGTGTTTCTTTTTCTTTTTGTCTTCCTTCCCAGCTGAACAAGTGACCAGTAATCTGAAAGAACTCGCACAGCAAGTCGCTCCAGGTGATATCGTGAGCACGTATGGGGTTCGGAAGGCCATGGGGATTTCCATCCCCTCCCCCATCGTGGAGAACAACTTCGTAGACTTAACGGAAGGTACGTGCCTTGTGTCTCCGGGAAAATGGAAGGCTGCCGTGAGCAAAAGGGACATCTCCTTTCAAATAACACTGGAGAGTTTTTGTCTCTGCATGTTGATAGTGTAGAAACTGCTTTTGTTCTTTAAACAAGATATAAAGGAAATAAAGGGCTCACACATTTGCAGACAGAGCTACAGTGATGCCCTAGTAGCACGTCTAGTCTTTAACCTTGAACGTGGTAAAGAAGGGCTGTCAGCACTTATTCTGGATGACACCTTTACTTTTTACCTAAAAGGGGGAAAGTGCTGAATGAAGCCGTACCTTTTTCTTTCAGATTTTGAAGAACCTAAAAAGACTAATGTTGCCGAGTGTGGACTGGATGGGGTTTGAAGCTAACTGGTACTTCATTATATATTATGTACATAGTTTTTTCATTCTTCACTTGGAAATCCTTTTCAGAAGATAGTAAATATTTGTAAATTGTGTTTTTAATTAAACTTTGGAACAATTAATGTTCCAGAGATTGGACTTCTATTAGGTAATAAAGCTGAGCCGGGACTGCGAGCTGTGTCGCGTGTTATCAGCTGAGCTGTCCTTGACCTTTCCCTGGGGCTGGGTCTGAGGATAAAGTGATAGAGAAACACTTAGGAAGTAAAACAGCCTTTTCAGGACCATTCATTAAAAGCAGCAAGTCCCCCAAATAATTGAAGTCCCTCATCTTTCCACGTTTGCCACCCTCCTCAGAAATTACAACCAGCTAGTTCCTGACTTACAAAACATTTCATCTGGATGGTTTCTTCAAAGAATGGCCTTGTGAGGAAGGAATAGGACAGACTCTGACCTGTTGCCCTCCGGAGCAGAAAGGAAGAGTGGACCTGGGCACATTTGGGTCAGATGGTGATAAGGCCGCTTCCTTGGGGGGCACAGACGGGACCAGAGCAAAGACATTTCTTTCAAATCCCCATCCAGTGAGATTTCCTATTGTTACGTTGTGGAAACAAATACACTTAACATACTTTTAGAATCTGCTAGTACGTCCCCTGCATACCTGCTGGGAATGACACTGTGTGTGCAAGGACGAGGTGTTTCCCCTGTGCCACCTCCCCCTCCCCCAGAAATCACAGCACTGACTTGTCTGGCGGTCCTGTTTGCTTTGCCGTTTTGCATTTTTGAGACAGTCACTTAGAACTGCTGTAAAAGGATAAGCTAAATAAGGGAATCATGGAGCTTCAAGTTCACATTTCTTCTACCGTTTCTCACGGGTCACCCGTGCCTCAGCGTGTCCCTTGCCCTAATAGTCATCTAATTTTATCTGAAATGCAAAGGTCAGCTGCTCAAGCAGGCAGCTGAGCAGGAGACCGTGAGACGTGTGGCCCCCTCCTGTAACAGGCGCCACACTGCAGCCTTGCTCAGTGAACGAGGCGCATTTAAGACCCTGCGCGGACTGTACATAGCCCTTCTGTAAAACCCCCCAGCTGGAAGTCGTGTTAGTTTTATTGTCCTGACCTTGAAACTAACATTTAGCAAGAACAAGTAGGGTGAAAGAGAAGGGATTCTCTCAAGAGAGTTAGAAATGACCCAGTCTTTTAAAAACCTACTACAGGGGCACCTCAGTTTCGGCTCAGTTAACGTCAGACTCGGTTTCGGCTCAGGTCATGATCTCGGCTTTGTGGGTGCAAGCCCCAGATAGGGCTCTGTGCTGGCAGCACAGAGTCTGCTTGGGATTCTCTCTCTACCCCTCTCACTCTCCCTCCCCCACTTGCACTCTCTCTCTCTCTGTCTCTCTCAAACTTTGAAAAAATAAAAGCCTACTTAAAACTGTATGCTAGAAGACCTTTAAAATTGTTCAAATACACATTTTATCAAGTGTTTTTAGAGTTTAATTTTAACCTTTCAGTTAGAAACAAGAAAACATTAAATTCAAAACACTAGGACATTCATGTTTTCCAGATTGCTAATTTAATGAATGAAATGCTAAACAAAGTAGAAACACTGGTACTTTATGAAAAGAAAATACATTTTGAAACAAATGTTACAGATATATAAATATTCAGGATACAGAGTAATACCTAGTTGTTTGCACCTTCTCAAAACCTGTTTCTGTATGTTGACCTGTTATATACACAGTGTAGAAGCTGGTTAATGATCTTCTCTATTAGGAAATTTTCTTAATGAGTAAACCAGAGAACTTCAGGTGCGATTGTCACTAGAGTCAGGGAGGCCACCTTTAAGCAAGCCCTTGACCCTTAGAAAAGGTCAGTGTTAGCAAAGACGCTTGTCCTAAGACAGAATGGCGCCTGTGAAGAAAGGGCTCAGGGATCAGAAAACAGGCAAATCAAAACTATGTGCTTTTTATGGTCAGTTATGCACTAGGGTCTGCACATGAAAACTAAAAACTTACAAAATATTTTTGAGCGCAGTGCTTGAACTGGAAATAAAAATCTATGGTAACTACTTTTTAAACTCCTAATTGGGATTTCTGGTGCCGGAAGAGAAAAGTAATTCAAATATTGCAAGAGTAGAAATACGTCCACTTCAGAGAGGCCCAACACGGCTGTGTGTGTCTATATCGCATCAGTGACAGAACCTCCCTGACACTCCAGGAGAGCCCTGTTGAGCAGCCCTGGTCACTGCTGAGTTAAGTGGACGCATTTCAGTGTAGTGCCCCCTGAAACCAGCCCTTTATATGGAAAGTCGGTGCATAAAACAGTTTAAGGTTATTCCCCTTAACAGAATTTTCGCCACAAAATTCCTTTATCCAGCAAGTTCTTACACTTCATTCGCCTCTGTGCTGGTTACAATGCGGGCCTCAGAGCTGCACTAGCGCCCCCAGCACCTCTGCGAACCAGAGAAGCCCCTTCTGAGCCTCATAAGCCCGTGGACATGTCCCAGGCAGACAGCGGACAGTGGCTTCAGGTCCAGTCCTCCCTGCCCTTGGCGGCAACCCCGGGTAAGCCTTTGAAGTCTCCCATGGGCCAGGTTTCCTGTACTTGCGGGGGGTTCCTGGAGGACTCCAGCTGGGAATCCCTGCTCTGTAGTGAACTTCAGCCATGTTAGAGCCCCAGGTGTGCTCTGGGGATGCAGTGGTGAAACTGATTCAGAAACAGGAACAAGCAGTTTGGCTCCTCCTCAACCTTGAAACGCAGTGAAGGCTGACTTCTGATTCTCTTAGACTTGCAGCACCATAAGACACCTCTCGCAAACCTGGCTTTTTGCACTTGATTTGATTCCTCCTGTTTGGAACAAGTCTGTCTCCGCAGCTCTGAGCGGGCTGGCTTCCCAGATCCGGGAACCTCTTCTGCACGCTTGCAGAGGACATGCTTTTCGTCTTGAAGCTCTACGAGTGAGCTGTGAGGACTAAAGAGAAAGGGAGCACTACAGTGTCTGCCTTCTGTCTACACAGACCCCCTTCCTTTCCAGGACAGGAACTGAGATGTGAGGATAGCAGGAGGGCACTCCAAGTACACACGGTGCTCAGGGAAGGGCTGAGAGGCCGTGCCTTTCTTTCTGGGCTGTGCCGCTCCTTGCCTTCTTGCTGTGTGACAGCCGTGTTCCTCAGCCCCAGCAGGGCTAAGCCGTCAGCGGACGTGGTTAAAAAGACAACACACTGGAGGGAAGAGATTTTTGTCTGGCATCTAAGAAGTCATTAGAAAGGGTAAAACTCCACTAATCATATACCCATTTAAATCAAGCACCTGCCAGAGAGGACAAGTAACAAGCCTCTGTTGTGCTGTTCTCTCCCTACTGTGTGAAATCATAGATGGAAAACCGCATTTTCAGCTCTGTTTACCGGGGTGCCTGTGTGAGAAACGTACAGCCCTGTTGCTGCTCCACTGGGAGAAAGGCGTGTCCAACCCATCCCGGACAGCTCGTGGTGGTTCTGTACCTAGAAAAGACCAGTCCCACCCGTGCGGCTGGCAGGCCATGGCCAGTTGTGTGTCTGGCTCCCCCTCTGAGATCTCCACAGTACCCAGGGGATCCGCATGTCCCAGCTGCCTGTGCGTGGCGAGGCTCGGTGGTAGCCTCGGGCTGGAGTCTGGTGCACGTTCCGAGAAATCCTCTAGCACAAGTCCAAGGAGGCCACACACAGCCACCTTGTCAGGGTAGTGATGGCCAAACCCCTGGAATGCCTCTGTGACTGGCATAGGGCCGAGTGCTCCCTGTGGCTTGCTTCAGGGACGGAAAATCCGCTTCCAGCATGTTCACCTCCCAGAAGCCCTCAATTCAGTCCCAACCCTTGGAACTTTGCCGTGTCTGTGCAGACAAAGTAAGTCCTCAGCTCGCCTTTGCCTTTGACGTTAATCAGTCCCCGGCACTCGCAAGAATAACCTAGTCCCTGGAGGATGGTGCAGGTCTCCTCAGTAACCTGAAAAGGAAAGGACAACAAACAAACTCTTGGGATGCAGGAGAAACACCTGCTGTTGGAGGGATGGCCAGGAACCAGCCCCGAACACACACGTCTGGTGTCCCTCAAGCATGTCCGGGCTGGAATCACAAAGCTGACGGATGCCTGGGTCCCCCGCCCCCTCCGGGAAGTTCCTCCCCCGGGTCATGGGTTTCCCCAGCTGGGGTGTACCTGGATCTTGCCAAGTTCTCCAGTGCTCTCCATTCGGCTGGCGACGTTGACCGTGTTTCCCCAGATATCATACTGAGGCTTTCGTGCCCCGATCACTCCAGCGATCACAGGCCCGTGGTTTATGCCTGAAGATGACATTTGCGGTTGGCAGGTCGGGGAGGCAAAGCCTCAGGCTCTGCCCCTACGGGAGGCCACAGAGTCCAGTGGCAGCCCCAGGAAGCACCGACCAGCAGCTGAAATGCAGGTTGGAGGGGGCTTCCCGAGCCTGTGACAGGACCTCTCAGGGCCTGGGAGAGGCGCTCCCTGGGCGGCCCTCTTCCCAGCTGCTCGCTCCCGACGTCAGGCTGAGGTCATGTCATCACTTTTCCAGTATCCGCTCATCTCCCAGCAAAGAATAAACGGGCTTTGAGCCCCAACCCCGTTAGCTAACACGGAGCAGTCAGGCTCGTAACTGCTTTGTTCTCAGTATATTTTAAGGATTCCAGCCCGATTTCTGGTTCTCCGTTTTCTGTAGTGATACGTTCTGATGTAAACTTTCAAAGGTAACTTTATTAACAGTATGCAAAGAAAGAGTAGTTACCCAGTTGCTGGGGTTGTGTGGCCAAGAGGGATTTCTCAGACCTTTCCTACCATCCAGTCAGGTGCACCGACAGACTCGAGCGTGGGCTTGCCGGGCTCCGGGACCCACCACAGCCTCCCACCCCGGCGTGGCCCGGCCCGCCCTACCCTCGGGCCCTCACCGACTCGCAGGCGGAAGGAGTTGAAGGAGTGCCGGTTGATGCCGTCCAGCTTGCTCATCAGGGCGATGCTGAACTCCACCATGATGCCGATGTGCGCGTGCTGCCGTTCCAGGTCCTGTGGGACAGGGCACTGCACGGGGGCCGTGGGATCCCGTGCCCCGTCTTCCCTCCTCCACGAGGTGTTAGCCACCTGCACTCCCCACCAGATGCCCCCCCCCCCCCGACCCGGGCTGAGTCGTGAGGTCCTCTGCCCCTCCCTCATAGGACAGGGCAGGAAGGGGTGTCCCCTCGAAGTCAGGTGATAGGTCTGGGAACTGTTGAGTCCCCCGAACGTGGGGCTGGGACCCGCGGCCACCAGCTCAGCTCGGTACCTGGTTCTCAGACCCTGAGGGGACGCTGAGCCCCACGGCTGCCATGTACGTGCTGCCAATGGTCTTGATCTTCTCCACACTGCTGAACTTGGGCTTTAGGAGCAGCTGCGGGATGAAGGGACACAGAGCCGTATGGCCCAGCCGCAGCCCCGGCCCACCCCAGGGTCTGAGAAGGGGTGGGGTCCCTCTCGCCACTGCTGCTAAGTTCTCACGCTCAGCCTCCCCATGTGGGCAGACAGCCGGTCCACGCAGGGACCTGGCCTCTGGCTTGTCAGCCCTGCTCCTCCTGACTCGGGCTTCCCGGGGTTCGTCCGTCTGCTCCTTGGCCCCTCCTGGGGCTCCTGGACTCTCCTTTTTAAGGACCAAGCACAAAGCACAGCCCAACAGTATCTACCCAGGAATGTCGACTGCTTGCAGCTGAGAATCAAGTCCAAACCGACTGACTTCCTCTGAACCAGCTGACAGTGTAGACTTGCTGGAAATCAAACTACAGGAGCCCCTCCCCTTACCCACTCCAGGACCCCCAGGGGATGCCTAACACCTCAGACTCCCGAAGCCTGTACGGTGAGTGCTCCCGCCTGCACGTACGTCCCTACAATGTTCAGCGTACAAGTCAGGCACAGGGAAAGGTCAACAACAGAACAGAACAACGTCCTGTAATAGAAGCTACGTGAATGGTCTCGCTCAGAAAGTCTTTACTGTATTCATTCATCCTCCTCCTCGTGAGGACACGAAGCGAGGTGAATGGCCTGGCCATTGTGACATTGGCGTCAGGCTACAGCTGACCTTCTGACCACACGTCAGGCGGAGGGTCCGCTCCTTCCGGAACACGGCTGACCCGGGGAACTGAAACCACAGATAAGGGACTGCCGAGTTCTTCAAGGACCTAAATCTAATCTTCGCAGGCTGCCCGTCCCAGAGAAGATAACAACACTTACTTACTGAAGAAGCGAGGAGAGGCAGATGTGCACCTTCGGCCGTGCGTGTCGCTCCCCACACGTGGCTCGCCGCGGGG